CAGACAAGTCTGAGAATCACTGCACTAGGTTGTCAGCTGGGCCCCTGATCCCAAATACACAGTAGCCACCACCCTCCCCTGGACTGCCGGGGCCCCTGGCCAAGGTGCACATGCGGAGACCTTTTCCCCTGTTGTGTTTTTTAAAGAGTTCTTTGTTCCCGGACGAGCCCCCCCACCCAAAAGAAGAGTTCTTGTTTTTGTTGTTTTGTTTATTTTTTAGAGCAGTCTTAGGCTTACAGAAAAATTGATTGGAAAGTACGAAGTTCCCTTGTATTCCCCTCCCACAGTTTCTGCTGTCAGTAACATCTTGCATTAGTGTGGCACATTTGTTAGGATTGCTGAGCCATTGCTGATACACTACTATTAACCGAAGTCTATTGTTTAAATTAGGGTTCACTCTTTGTGTTGTACACTTTATGACGTGTGTCTGTCATTACTGCATCATACAGAATCGTTTCACTGCTCTAAAAATCCTCTGTGTGAATCCTCCCTCCATAGCCCTGGTAACCCCAGCATTTGACCATCTCTTTAGTTTTCCTTTTCCAGGACATCATACACTTGGGATCCTACAACATGTAGCCTTTTAGACTGGCTTCTTTCTGTTAGCAGCATACGTGGACGGTTTCTCCATGTCTTATCATAGCTTGATAGTTTCTTTTTATTGCTCAATGGTATTCCATTGTCTGGATGTACTACAGTTTGTTTATCTATTTACCTACTGGAAGACATTTTGGTAGGTTCCAGCTTTTGACAGTTATGAATAAAGTTGCTATAAACATTCATGTGCAGCATCTAAGTTCATTTGGCTAACAAGGAGCACAGTTGTTGGATCGCATGTTTCGTCTTGTGAGAAACTGCCAGGCTGTCTTCCAAAGTCGTTGTACCATTTTGCATCTCAGCAGTGACTGAGTTCCTTTTGCTCCACATCCTCACTAGCACTTGGCGTCTTCTGTTTCATTTTATTCTAGAGATCAGGAATGTTCCCAGAATTGCAGGTTCAGAAATCCAAAGTGTGGCCCGCCCACCTCCAGACCTCTTTTCATCAGAGAGAAAGAACATTCTAGCTTATTTAAGCCCAGGTGGGTTTTTTGTCTTCTTTCTGGTCTTTCTGTTGTTTGCAGCTGAACCTAATTCTAGCAGACACCAGCAGTTCCGTGGTTTGGCACAGTGCAGGTCTGTCCTACACACGGGGCCCGGAATGCTCAGCAGTGTTAGGTGACCCGGGCAGCGGTGTTTGTTACAGAGGGCAGGGGAGATGAGAGGTGGCCTGGGGACGGCATCACCTGCCCTGTACACACCATCACCCTCATGGACCAGGGGCTGACAGACCCTGTGTGTGTGTGTGTGTGTGTGTGTGTGTGTGTGTTGTGGGTGTGTGTGTGTGTTGTGGGATGTATGTGTGGATGCGTGGTGTGTGTACAAGTGTGTGTGGGGAGATCGACCTCTCTGACAACTTTCTGTTTGCACTTCATCCTGGCACCAGTCTGGTCCCCTCCTCCTCCCAGGTCTCCCTGCCCCTGTCCTCGTCCCCCCACCCCTGGGGCTGACACCTGCTCCAGGACCCCAGGCTCCTGGCTGGACCCCAGTCTTTGCAAAGCTCTTCCTTCTGCCTGTAACATCACCCTGCATCACACTGACCCTCTTCCTTCCACACCGTCTACACCTGCTGGCGTGGTTTTGTGTGTTTAGTTTTCATGTGTCTTGTCTGTTTCCCACCAAACCATCAGCTCCCTGAGACTAGGCCTCTCATCGCCAGGTGCTCACTTACCATTTCGTGAGTTTGGCGACCGAACAACAGTTTTAAATGACTAAGGCTCCCGCTGATTGACTAAAGCCCAAGACATTGAAACAAGTTTAAATTTAAATACGAAAGTGCTGAGGGAAGTTAAATCCGAGCTGAGAGGGTAAGAAACAGTGAAGTTTTTTTTTTAATTTAGTTTGGATTTTATTGTTTTTTATGTATATACGTATGTATTTATTGAGTTATAGTCATTTTACAATGTCGTGTCAAATTCCAGTGTAGAGCAGTTTTTCACTTATACATGAACATACATATATATTGTCACTTTTTTTTCCTGCTGTGAGCTAAGAAACAGTAAAGTTTTAAGCCTCCCCTCAAGTCGTTGTGAGCCCCACACTCCTGTGAGGGGCTGGGCTGCACGTGACTGGTCTGTTTGCATTCCTTTGGGACCCAGCGCTGTGGCACTGTCGGGTATCAGAGGGTGTCAGAGAATCAGGACCCAGTCTGCTTGGCCCTCCCAGAATGCTCATTAGCAACTTGATTTGGGGGCAAGGGGACCTGCAGACCCTGCTCCCCATCACCTTACCCCTAAGGCCCAGGGTAGCACCTGGTGGGTGTGAAGAAGGGGTGAGGAGGCCTGGGGAGGGGAACAGAGCTGTGGGGCTGACATGCCGAGTGAGCGCCAAGGGGGTCCCGGGGCGGTGTGTGCTTTTCCCATTACCTGCAAACAGTGGATTACATGAAGCGGAGCTTCCTCTGAGCCACAGATGGAAAAGTCACTTTTATTTCAGGCCTGGCGCTTTTCTTCCCCCGCCTTCCCCCAAAGCCTCAGTTCCATCCCAGTAGAGCTTTCGGACTCACAGCCTCTAAGCAGAGCCCAGATGCACAGAGCTGATGGTGCTGGCATTTGAAACAGCCAGGCCCTGGTGCTCCCCCCCGGGAGTCACCTCAGATGACTGGGCTGTGGGGCGGGGAGGGACTGAGCTGGGGAGATGAAGCTGGCTGCCTCGCGTCTGACATTTTTTCTGTGTCAGCTCTCCAGAAAACCCTCTTTTGGGACAAACAGTGCTCAGGAAAAGCTGAGCGCATGGCCCACTCACAGACAGCGTTAATTGTGGGCTCTCGGGTGCCTGTCGTCACTTAACCAACTTCCTGGGCTGTAGATGGGGACAGATTTAGCCCAAGGCATCCCAGGCCCCTTTCTCTGAAACTGCTCCTGACACATTAGCCCAGGTCATGCGGGCGTGCGGAGTAATCACTGGGTAGGAGCCGGGCGAGGGACTGATGCCAGCCCCAGGCCTGTAGCTGGCGGGGTCTGCACTGCTGCTCTCAAGGGGCTTAAAAGCAGCCTGTGCACCTGCATGGCCAACGTGGGGAGGGCGAGGGGCGGCTGCGCAGCACCCTTTGGGTCTGAGACTGCCTGCAGGATGTCCTCCCAGCTGGGCCTCTGGGCCTCGCCCTAGGTCGATTCTCTCCCTGCACCGTCTTCCCCTCCCTGGCAAGTTCATAGGCTGTCCACACAGTCCCCCACGGGCTCTGGTAAACAGTCCTCTCTCATTGTGTTTTGCAGACTTCATTCTTCCCAGCTCGTTTGTGAAATGGACAAGGGGTATCATTACCATTCTCTTACTTGTTAAGTTGCCCGAGAGGGAAAAAAACAAACAAGAAAGTTTTTCCTCCTCAGAGAGTCTAATTACTTGTTGGATGAGCGTCGACCCATATATGTTTCCAGAGAGAGAGAGAGAGATACTCGATACCAGTGCCAACCGACGGAACG